ATCAACAGCAACTCTGACTCTGTAGGATTGTGTGGTTTAGAACTTGGTATGGCTTGTGAGGTTTATTTTCTTCAGCAAAAGACTTAAGACTTACTTAAGATTCATTTAAGACTTGGGTTTGTAGATTTCCTTCTTTAGACCAGTGAACTGGCATCGTTGATAGATGTTTGAGGACAGCAGTGTCATGACAAAATGATCTAATTGCTTTATAGCTGAATTTGATTGTATTTAATTAGAAATAAAAAAGCAACTGTGTTCCATGTCTGTTCGTTAAATTGCTGTTGACTTTTTTCATTGACATTCCATAAACGACAAAGTTAAGGTTAACAGTATAAATAGGGGTGCTGTGGATTATGAAAGGGGAACCCATGCAATTAAAAAAAAATGGCTTACATAACCTGATATCATAATAGACAGAATATTTATTTAACTTGCAGTAAATTGACACACCTCTAGACAGAGACAATTATGACTGACTGTAAAACATCTGACAGAACCAATTATGACTGACTGTTGTTTGCTACCTTTGCACAGAAATAAATGAAACACAGATATTTGGAACAGAGACTGCTGCCTGTGTGTCTACGCTTGCTGTAATTAAAATACAATAACCAGTAGGCGATGTAAAAAATTTAGGAGCTAATTTAGTATGTTCTTTAACTCCTTAAATAAAAGTGTGATAGAGACATGATGCTTTACATAAATGATACTCTGCAGGGGGTTTTGTGCATTCCTAGACAAACCAACATTTTTGCACTATGCTCATAGGCAGCTATGTTGTATCTCATGTATCTGGTGCAGATTACACACACAAATACAGAGGAATGTGATCTTACTCTGAAGAGCAGGTTATCAACAGAATAACAGGGAGAGAGTTTAATAATATGACACAGTTTGGTTGTCTGATCAGGAGGAAAAAAAGACAGAAGATTTTCACTTAGCCACATTTTAGGGAATCCAAGAATTAGAGTTCTTGATCGTGGCTATCAGGTTACTCAGCATCATTTTAATAGAAATTAAGAGAAATTGCATTAAATGGAAGACAAGCAGTCGGGTATAGATAACCTCCAGATATTTTCATCCTTGCTTCCAACATCTGAACAGCAGCATGGGTAAATGGATTTCAGGAACCATTAAATTTTAATTTTTTTTTATTTTTTTATTTCCTTAATAGAATAAAATTGTACCTAGGTAGCTAAACAAGGATTTGGATGGAGTGCTGAATTTGACAGGGATATCCAGAAGTTGAGACTGTGTTTTGTGAAGGGAAGGAGGGAGCAGTTATGCTGGGAAGTGGAAGGAGGGATTACCTGCATGCTTGGTGGTATAATTCTGTAATATCTACCAGAGTCAGTGATTTACTAACTTCAGAAAATACAGTACCTGAATTTTACTTGTATACAGTCAGAAACACATCTTCTTTATTTATTTCTATTAAAATAATTGCATTTTTAACTTTTATATTTGTTTTGATAGTGTCTTTTTTATGCTCTGCATGTGTATAAATATACCTCATTATGTACAGCTATGTATACATTCTGCAGCAGTGGTCATCCTAAAAGATTGCTCATTGCCACTGAACTTGGATGTTGCTGAAACAATGATGGGGTGATAATGGATATAGAACTATTTCAGAATGTGAGTACTAAAAGGCAATTTCAGTCAGTTTGTATAGCTTAGTTTTCAGAAGGCCTTAGGCATGTTATTGATTAAATTCTCATTTAGGAAGAAAGTAAGAGCTCTTATATGCATCTCTAAGTTGGATGGTGTGGTAACTCAAAGGTATTGACTGGCTGTGTGATATACAACGGTCACAGTTGTCTTTTACTCAGAGGAGCACAGAGTGATGCTGGTTGTCATTCTTACTCTGCTGTGTGGCAGCGTAAATAGTCCCCTTTCTAACCAACCTGGTGGGAAAAGTCAATATCCCATCAGCAAAGGAGGTAAACACATCAGGAGCTGTGTCCTCTCTCATCTCCCCCTGCTCTGTATTACTACAGTTCTTTAAATCTCTTCTCCCCAGTCATCAGATGCACTTGTGTCATTCAAATGCATGGTGCTGCAGACACAGCCCTGCCTGCCTCTCCTCCTGGAGCTCCCGGCTCCCATTCTCTTATAATTGAAACTTAAAATTGGCCTCATTACTTCAACGAGGCCCCTCATATTTCTCCTTTTTTTCAGTCCACCCTTTCCTGCCTGCCTCTACAAGGGTAATTGCATCTAAGAAATGTTTGAAGCATACTGTCAGGAAGGTTATTGCATATAATTGGAGTTAGATTTAATGTTGGGGGGAGCTGGGAGCTCTGTTAGTGGGATGGCTGGAGCCCTGAGGCCTGAATTGGAGCTGTACATGGGCCTGTATTTCTGTTCCCTACTCTCAGCCCTGGTGTATTGTTTGCCTCAATGTTCTAATGATTAATGTGCCTTCCTACTCTGTTCACATGTGCCAGCTGTTCGCATTGATGTATTTTACCTTGGTCCCTCCTGAGCTCCAGGAAGCTTTAAACTATTTTGGCCTAGTTTTGAGGTGTAAGGATGGTATTTTCCACAGTTCCTTGGTATAAAGAGCGTGGTTTGGCTAATATGAGCAGTTGCAAGTGAACTTACTGTATCATTAATCTTGAAAATACATAAACACGTTAGAGCTCAATTTGTGGCAAAGTGGGATTGGTGTTTTTATGGATGTGGTTAAGACAATTTTCAAGGTTTGTTTAATTTAACCCTATATCTAAATAGTTTCAGAATCGTTAAATGTGTTTATGCCATAGTGACTTCAGCCTGCTAATGAGCAGATTCACATAATCAAGCTTTTATTGTATTGGAGTTGTAGTTCAGAGAAAATTCAATTCTGCTAATAGACTTTTAGTCATTACTGTCTGTGTAACAGTAAAAATGTGGTGTCTTCAACAAGGTATCTTCCTCTGTTTGCTTACTGCCCAGATACAGAACTGAATGTGACAGCACAAGACATAACTTCTTCACAACAATGCGTGAAAGGTGTTTATCAAAGTGTTTTTAATCAATGTATTCACTTACTCAGGCATCGTTAATTTAAATTTTAATTTAATTTTTAAAGAGTTGATAGCTTCATGCAAAGCAGTTGACTTCAGTGGAACTTTGTGAATAACACGGAAAACCTAAGCAGGTGGCAATTTCTCAGTCAAACATTGCTGTTTGTATTATATCCAGAGCTAGTCTGCTGAGCTCATACTACAACATCTGAGGCTCTGCAGAAATATTTGTAAATCCTCAGGGAGAAGAAAGTCACAAACCTCAAAATTGTAATAGCTTTTTCTGTCACCATACTTCCCATCCCTGCCATCTTCTCATGTAGCAGTCCTTGACTTGGCTGCTGAAATGAAGCTGTGTCTGATGGGACACCTTCATCTCAGTCACATCACAGAGGTGAGCTGTCAAAAAAAGGAGTCATTTCATCCCTTATACAGATAAGACTCAAAAAAGCAGAGTGTCCCTCTCCCTGAAAACCTTTTCTTAAATAAACTCCACTGTTTTTAGAGACACTTGGTTTTTCATCAACTTGTGCTGTAGAGTAAAAATTGTTAGAGAGGAGATGGAGGCTCCTCTGTTACTTATTCAAAGGACAAGGAGGGCTGTGATGGTGTCAGGAAGAAGTGAGGCAACAGCTTTCAGGCAAAGCTAATGAACAATAGAAGGATGGTGTTGGTTGCTCACCAGACAGATGTTTTACCCTGCACCTCAGTGGCTTCAGATCTTGACCTGTGAGTACCTGTGCTGTGCTCTCCTAGTTCTGCTGGACCTGGAGTCCCTCTAGTCTAAAAGCAGGGAAGCTGCCTGGGAGGGCACCTTGTTTTGCAGTGTGTGTGCTCTCCAGTGTTGCAAGGTGTAGCTGCAGGAACAGGCTTTTGACTAGGAGCTGGTGTTTCTAGAATGTGGAGTTGGTCGGAAAATAGCACAACTGGCACCAGATCTGCATCTACTTGGTATTGCTGTATAATGGAGTAGTGGAATATTCTGCTCTTCTAGTCTTTGTCCACAGCTTACAATTACCCAAACATAATCCCTTGGGTGGTTTGTTTGTTTGTTTTTAATGGCATAAAATTTAACAAAAAAAGCCCTAACAGAAATAGAACAGCTTGGTCTTTGCTGCTGAAATATGTACAGACTCATGCACATGACTTGGCACACACATAAAGGTACAGGTGAGTAAATGTCTTGTCTTCCAGACATCTCTTACCAAGTCTTTGGGAGCCTCTTCATTCATGTGTCAGGTGAACCTGACATCTCCTGTTTGAGATACTGGGGATCTCTCCATTTCAGGGTAATCTAGCATGGAATTTCCCCTGTTTCTTCTACTTCCCTTTTCCTTCCAATGCCTCCATAGTGTTGAGGATTGCAGTTCCCATCCTGCATACAAGGTGCATTTGAGAACACACAAGACTGGTAATAAGTCTGTCCCAGGTTGTGGCCAGTGCCAGTAGTTACAGCAGGGATGAAGGACATGAATGGACATGAATTGTGATCTTCACTTCTGAAGCCACCCTGGGGCAGAATCTCTCCCTGCTTCCAGCCCCTGGGGACTCTGGATAGTTCTCACTAAGTTAAGGCACCTGCCCCCTTTAAATGAGATCCTTTCAGAGCCAGCCCAGCTATTGCTTACTTTCTCTGCTGTGGCTTAGTGAACCCTCATGTCACTCCAGCTAGATGACAGAACTGGACTAAGGGTGGTTCTTGCCAGTTTTTCCACTGCTCCTGTGCTGGTGGGGGTGAGGAAGCTTCAGCCTTGGCTCCATGGCCAAGGTTCACCACTGCCCCTCACCAACTCATGTAGGAAAGACAGGGAATGCAGGGAATGCAGCAGAACATGGGAGAGCTTGCCACAAATGTGCTCTTTGCTAACTACAACATTCACCTCGTTTTAAAATGCCTTGATTCACAGTCTAATGAATGCAAAAATCCTGTCTTTTTCTGGTCATTTAATCCCTCTCTGTTTTCTGGGTTTTTGCCCTTTGTTCTTCTAGAGTATTTGAAGAAGAAGCCAGTCAGGAGGGAAATCTCTGAGGCCTACAAAAGACTGAAGAGCACTGTAGACAAATGCCTGTCCATGAGTGCCTACTCAGAAGTGAACCTTGGCAAACTCTTCACTGTCAGTATAGGAAGATCTGTGGGAGACTCCAGTACTGAAAGACAATGATTGATTAAAAATGGAGGGAGGTTAGCCCCTTGTTTATCAGTAATGATCTCTTCAGTGATACTTTATTTCAGTATGTACAATGATGTTTTAATAATTTTGTCTCTTTGGAGGAGGAAAAATGGGAGATGAAAACAGGATGTATGATTCTCATGGATATGAAGTATTCAAGGTGTTTTTTATCTTCCTGTCTTCATTGAGAAATCAGGGTTATTAAAATATGGAGTAGTTGATTTTTGCAATATTTTTTGTTGTGTATTTAGACCGATGAGGGAAAAGGGGGTGGGGGAATTGCTGCTTTAATTGGATAATTCCCAGTGAGAGTTGCTGGAATGTAAGTGATCCTAGACTTTGCTCCAGGGTATTTACTAGAGGTGCTCTCAGGAAGAGAGGTTAGTAGAGGTCTCAGTAGGAGCACTAATGTTTTGCCTTTTCACGGTTTATCTTCTTCCTGATCATAAACATACCAATTAAAAACAATACTAAACCTAAATGCATTTAAATGTCCTATTACCTTCTGAAAAGAGGTAGGGATGCTTTACTTTGAAATTCATTCAGGAACGACTGAAACCTGGAGGTGCTAAAAATAGGGACCATCTTTTTATTAGGAGTCTTTCCAGGCATCTTTAAGCATAGTATTTTGCAACGTTGAAAATTTCTGTGTGGATGTAAAGACATGCCCATGAACAAAACCCATTTCACACATACAGCGGATATAAATGTGTTTCATTTCAAAGTATTTGAAAGTAAGCAATCGATAGGGAAAAATATTTTTGGGATGGCATTGTAACCAATAACAGGGGAATGGTAAGCAGCAAATCATAGTTACTGTTCTGTAATAATTACCGTGTTGGAGGTTTTACAGTTTTTACAAACAAATGTATTTTTCATTTACTTCTAATAAAATGACAAGCAGATATGACAAGAGAATAAATTTGGGTACATGCTTTTGTACACAAAATATTGTTGTACTCTGTTCACTGTTAAGTTTGCAATGTGATATATTAATGTAAGGTTATAAAAAATGGCTTTTAAATTTTGAACAGTATAAAATGTAAAGTTTTTTCACACTTGAATAAAAATAAAGTTTTCTAGTAAAAGAGAACTTGATTCTATGGTTTGATGGTTGAAAATAGTCCATGTTAGGTCATATTGCTCTGGACTTTTCCTGGTCTTACAGAATTGCTTGTGTGTCTGTTTTTAGGATGAACAGCCAAAGGAAGCTTGAAGAAAAAGTAAGAGGATCAGCATGAACATGTTTGGTACAGGAGGGATACATGTGTCTGTTTGTGTTCAGAGTATTTTATGACATTCATTTGTCCCCAGAGTAGCATTTGGAAGAGGCTGTGTGTCAGTATGGGTAGTGTCAGTTTGAATATGCCTAAATGCACAGTAATCTTCCTAGCAACTTTTGGAACTAAACCCTTTCATTTCTGCTCACATGGAATCACTACAGTGAGAAATGGAACCTGTGCAGTCTCTGGTGTTGTGCAGGTGTTGTCCCACCCTGGTGAGCTATTGATCCTTCCAATATGTTTAGTTGGGTTAATACTGTAAAACAGACTTTATTTGGAGTCTTGTCTTGGAAGAGAAGGTGTTGCTGCCAAGATGATGTACTGAAGTTGCAGAACTTCAAAAGATTCTGGTTTCTTGTAATTTCATGCAGGGATTTTTAGATTTTTTGTGTCTGGCCCAATTAGGATTATGAAGTTACTACTAGGATTAACTGGGTAGAACGCCTCAGGAATGTGAAAAGTGTGACTTTCTCCTCCAAACATTAGGTATACAAATAAAATGGATAGATATGGCATAACCTGACCTTGTGGCACTTGTATGTATCTGTATAATTACAGCTGAAGAGCCTGTTAATTTGCAAGTTTAGGGATGTTTAGATTAAATGAGAGTGTTGTGGAATGACTGTGTAGGGTGCAGCAGCACAGAGTGGCCCTGCGAGGGGCTGTTCCCCGCACACACCGAGGCGGAGGAGCCATGAGTGGCACAGCCCCAGAGCCCCTGCCACCCCGGCCATCCACAGTCCAGGCAGGTTGAGGATGGGAAATGAGGGCTTTTACCCCAAATGGAGGCTTTTTTTGATTCCTCTCAGCAAAGCTGGTCAGATCAGAGCTGAAGTCTTGGCAAGGAGTAAAAACCGGATTTTTTTTCCCCCCTCCCCTCTCCCTCTCTAATCAACTCTGGGCACAGTGCCTCGTCTTGGCCCCTCAGAAAGGCTGGGAAATGCAAAATCATCTTTATAGCATTTAATATTAAATGGAGCTGGTAAATGCTGCGCTGTAAATAATTTGGGAAAGACTGAAGTTCGGAGGTTTGCATTCTGAGGCTGGTCTGGCCTGAATCGCCTTCCCTTCCTTTTCCTCCTCATATCCCCCTCCCCCACCCCGTGCTGTTAAAATTAAGGTTTGTGTTTATTTGTATTTATTTGCAGTTGGGGAAGAGGAGTGTTGATATATGAAGCCGGTGGCCAGGTTTCGCTGATGACATATGCGATGTGAAAAAGAATTCCCATCCGCAAACACGGTTGCTGCTGTGCCAAAATCCCTCTTTTCGCCGCCAAAGGCAGTTTTCTGAGGCCGAAGCGGAGCACATCTTCCCCTTCGAATCCATCCCCGTCTACTGCAGGGCACCTTAAATGTGCCTTAATTGAATAGTTCTCCCGCACCCTCCTTATAGCAGTTTAATAGATTAACTCATCTGTGCCAGCTTCAAATTTCAGATTAAAATTCCTTCATCCCGAAGGCAGCATTATCAGGTTGTTGGAGGCTGTTTTCAAACCTTGGTTTTGAATAGCAGCGGCTCTGCATTAATTTAACCACTAAGCTAATAAGTAGGTTTCGTTTTGTTATGCTAAGCTTTATTGCTTTTCTTTTGATCAGAATGGTGTTGTTGAGCAAAGCAGCAGACAAGGCATTCTTTGATGAGGGAATTAGCGCTCTATTCTTCCTCTATTATTCATAGCACAGTGGAATATGTAAGTACCTGAGGGTGTCAAAGGAGAGCAGGCTCTATTGCAAAGTGTTCGCCTTGTTTCTCTCAATAGCTGACTATGAGATGATAAACCGCTTAATACACTGCACTAATTGGATGAGAGCAAAAAGAGATGGGAATTAAGGCACGGCGAAAGGAGAAAGTGCTACCAGCCTTCATTCACTCTTTCACCACTTTAACAGCACCAAAGGAGGCACAAGCTTTCTATAAGCAGACCAGGGGTTTTGTGCGGAGATAAAATGAACCTGTTAGCGGATTCAGGTAATACACTAATTATTGCACAGTATAAATACCACTACTGGTTTTATAACACGGAGGTAAACTTCTTTTGAGAAGGTTATAGGATTGCTTGGCAGCAGTATAGATCCTAATAAGGGACCAGAGTAATAACCCCCTGGATTAACAAAATTGCTGCTTGCAGAAGTATGATTCGGGCTTTTACGAAGATTTCAGCAGAATGAATAAAAATGACTGAATGACATTTCTTAATGCCTAATGGCTTGATAATGATTCCCTTTTCTTTGAGGCAAAAATGTATATTTCAGGCTTCACTGTTAATAACGTCCAAGGAACAAACCTTATTTTTCCCATAAATTTTTTTTCGCGCCTATGGTGGGTTTTTAGAACTTAAAAATACGGCTGGGGGCGGGCAGGGTCGGGGGTGTGGGATATGAAACGCCGTGAGTGGAGGGGAGCTGGGGGAAGGGTCTCGGCGGGCTCCCACGCGCGGTGCTCGCTCCAGCGGCGCTTCCCGGCCGCTGCCTCCCGGAGCCGGAGTCTCCCNTTCGCTTGGAGGCGTGGGGCAGAGCCGCGGCTGTCGGCGCTGCTCCGCCTGGCCGCGCAGCGGGGCACGGTGACCGCGGCCCGACGGCTGTCCGCTGCATCACCAGCATCCCCCCTTCTCCCGGACCTGCCCAGCCGGCCCAGGGACGGCGCTTCCAATGAGGTTTGAATTTGTTACTGTTTTCCCCTGTTCATCTTTCTTTCCCGTTACACAGAGCCCCGTCGTTGGGACCGCTCCCCCCACAAACCATCCTTGGGAGGAGACGTGGCTACAAAATGGCAGTTCGCTGTCAGGCTTCGGGAAAGGTGTTTGATCTTAGGGCGGAGACAGGGCTAATCTCTGTTTCAGACGTTGTGCTTGGAAACGTGCAGGATCGGTTCAAGACTAAGAGAGAAATTGTTTTCACCTCGCAGGGAACAGCGTCAGCCTCGGCTGGGGAGGATTTGCCCTCACTGCGGCGGCCACCGGCGACACAAAGTTGTGACCCATCGACTGAGCACACGGCAGCTTTTAATCCGTGAGCAGTTTGTACCCATCCCGTCCCCGGAGCATCCCACAACCCTCGTTACAAGCTGCTGAAGTCGGGAACCCCTCCGGTGGGTTCCCGCTCCCTGCCAGCCCTGCGCATGGGTGGAGCTGCAGCGGCGGACGCAGCCCATCCCCAGGCTTTTCACACGAGCTGCTTCTTGTTTATTTTTAACTCTCTTTGCAATGGAGAAGAAAACGATAACAACTACTTAAAAATCCCGATTTATCACTATATACTATAGATATCACGATTTGATTTATCACTGTCTACTTTATGCAGAAAAAAAAGGCTTGTGTAAAAGCTGTCTGTAAGGAGGTACAGAAACTGTATTTCCTCTGCCTGCCTTCTCAGCTCTCCGTTGTAGTTTCCTCCCCGTTCCTCGACGTGCTTGGCGCCCTGGCCCCGTGCTCCCCCTGGCTCTGTGCTGTGGGATCCACAGCTCCCGGGTAACCCAGGGTGAGCCACAGAGAACGTCAGAGTCTGAAGCGCCCCACACCCGAGCACGCGGGAGAGTGAAACACAGGGGACCACTGGTCTTCAAGAGATGTGATTTAGTCTCATTCCTTCCCCCAGTACAGCCCCCTCTCTCTCCCCAGCCAAGTGTTCAGGATTATGGTCCTGTGAACAAAAGCAGTACATCTGGGCATTAGGGAAGGCAGGATGCCTTGGTACCGCTGTCACTGGACAGTGTAGAAATGTATGATGCCGTTTAGATGTCATGAAGTGGCACATGATTCCCCTTGTGAGCCTCACAGTGCTTTAGTTCAATCCATATTCACGATCTATTTTTCAGCTTAATGGAGAGTACTGTTCTGAAACCCACTCTGGACACAGCCTTGACTTTGCACAGTTCTGTGGAGATGGGTGGTTGCCCTTGATCTCAACTACCAGAACTACCCAATTCTTCTGGTAGAGTCTTGTGAAACACTTTAAAAATCTAGGCTAATACCCTACAGACAGTCTTGTGGGATCTCAGAACAGCTGCACATCCCCTAGAGCCGAGATCAGACAGCTGTGGGAGAACCAGTATCTTTGTGTCCCTTGGGGCTTTGAAAAGTCACTGGTCACCTGAATACACCTCAAAACGTTCAATGGCTTAACAGCCTTTTCATTTCAGGTAAAATAACTTATCCCATCATTGCAGGTTGACAATTTAATCCATACCCAGCAGCTATCACTAGGGCACCACTGCACCAAAATCTCTTTGCACAATGGTGTTTGACTTCAGCACATTTGAATTCACATCCAAGAGAAAGATCATTTTGCAAGTATTGTTTTTTTTGGACTCACATCACCATTTTCACCAGTTTTCAGCCTATTCCCCTGGATGTGAGGCTGCACCACCTGCCCACGGGGTGAGCTGGGAGAGCCCTGTGCACCAGGTGTCAATGCAGGTCACAGTTAGCTGGACTGTCTGGCGACTTGCAGTGCCACACTTTTCTGCCTGTGAAAGCAGCCCCAGCTTTTGTCGCTCACTTTGGTTTCAGTGCAAGCTCAGGGAGCAATTTCAGTAATGATTGGCATCTGGACAGAGGTTTGATATCAGCAGTAATGGTGACTCAAGAATAATTATTCATAAACTTCGCATTTAGCCCATGTCTATGTGTAGGCAAAATCTGGGCCACATTCCACAGATCTAATTTTAAAAAAGTATTTTCTCAATTATTTTTTATTCAGCTGTCATTATTTTTTAATAAATTAGTTTATCCTTCTGTTAACATAGGTTTCACTACAGACAGAGGACAGCAGTTAATTTAGGTGAATGTGTCTCATCTTTACTTATCTTCTGCTGTTTTTCTGTATCTGGTAAAGCAAAACTTCTCCTCTGGTCCATGCTCCAGAAGCATTCCCAGCTCATTTTTGGGTTGACCCTTTTTTGCACAGCCATGAGACAGAACAGGTCTGCAGTGATGTCTCTGAGTAATGCTGTCACCCACCATAATTCTGTTAGATTTAGTTACTGTATTTAACTTACTTATCCCTTGAGCCTGGTCATCAGACCAGTACTCCTGAAAATCATTTGAGAAAACAGATCTGGGCACACAGCTTGGCGGTACAACCCTCCACAGCCAGCTCTCCCTCCTGGAGACCATGTGCCTTCCTCTCATTTCTGCCTCAGGTTTACCACTGGGGACAGAGGTGTGTGTGTCCTTTGCTGGCATGCCATGGTCCCCAGGTCACTGGCCTTATTGGTACATCACAGCTCTCTTTCTGGTTTGCTTTGTTTTTTTGTTCCTAAGTGCTTGGCTTCATGAAATCCTGTCAGGGCTGGCAGTTTGCTGGTTGAGACTGGGATGCCATCAATACTGCCTCTATTTTGCCAGCTTCCCATCCCATCCCATCCCATCCCATCCCATTGTCATCTTGGGTCCTCAGAGTCTCTCAAAGGCCTTTTCTAGTCTTTTAGATTTATTTAGGAAGCTCCTGCCTTTCACTTTTTTTTCTCTCCCACTAACATGTATGTCCTTTTCCCAGGACCTCAGCCTTCCCACAAGCCCTGGCTGTCCCTGCTGACTGCAGTGATGTTTCTGCAAGGAGATGGATTTCCTAGCACTGTGTGGATTTAAATCAAGACCACTCCTTTTCCGGAAGACATATTTTCAACTAATGTAAATGTTTTGTCTAAATATAAGAAGAACTAGGTGGGGAGCTCTGTGTCCTACAGCCCCTGTGACTGTATCTTACAGGAGACTGGGTGATGGAGTGAAAGCTGGATCTTCTGACCCTAGAAAATCCATGAATAAAATCCCAAGTTGCTTTGTCACAAGTAAGCCTTAGAAACTCAGTGAAATTATTAATGCATCAAGGTGCAGTGGTCTAAAAAATTTAAAAATATGATCATAGGCTTATTTAACGTTATACCTTCTGTGTTATTTTCTTTTGTATGTGCTGACTAGAACTGAGCAAAGGCTTCATAACAAATAATTTATTTGTCAAACGTATTCTCTTCTCCTGCGTGTGGAATATCCATGAGCAAGAGCATTGTTTTCTCAAATGTATTTATCTAAAATGCTCCAGTGGTTCCTTTAAATGAATAACAGAAGGGCTTGCCTGCAAATGGTTTCCGCTGTTTAGCTGTACTTGGGCAAATAAACCTCCTGGTATCGACTGCTTTGCCCGCCTGTTGCGCCAGCAACACCCCGGTTGTGCAAATAGGGTGTGAGTGTGTGAGTGTGTGTGAATGCAACAGCTGGGCTTCCTCAGCCCCTCCGTGGGCAACCTCAGGCCGGGCTTTTCACAGGCACTCGGACCACTGAAACGCGATCGCTCAACTCACTGCAGAGGGGGTGTGAACGCAGCTGAAAAGCAAAGCCATTAAAAATTCAAATGAGCGTTCGATGAGCAAAGGACAATGTTGCACCCTCTTTGACTATCTCCGGCGTGACCTTCATGTGGTGCTGTGTTCTATTTCAGTGAATGCAGCCGCACAGGGGCAGAGCGGGAATCAGAACGATCCGGGGAAGGGCACGAATCGGTGCTGGTCTGGCATTTCATTGCTCAGGAGATATTATCCAAAAGATCAGGGTGTTTTAATCCAGAAGCATGGCTGAAGTGAAATAGAATAATAGAGGGAAGAGAGATCAAACTGTCTGTGAAGCTTGGTTGGACCATTCTGCTCAAAAAATCTAACCTTAAAACCGTATTTATTATTGCTATTTCCTACATCTATGGGCACCATTGCATCTGGCTGTCATTGAGGGGCACCACTATCTCATAAAGATTTTAAAAAAATGTTCTTGGTAAAGAAAAACCTGCATTTCACAGAAAGGAATGGGAATTTTTCCTAGGAACAGGCTGATGCTAGTGGATGCATGGAGAAAATACTTCAGTGGCTGTCCGTCAGTGCTTCTCATGGCTTTTTTTTTTGTGTTGGCCCCTTTATATGGAGCATCCCTGCTATCATTCAAGGCTGAATGCTGCTAGATAGCTAAAGGATCTATTCTGATATAGCATCCGTGTTTATCTGTTTAACATTCTGCATCTCCTTTAGTGCAAGATTCAGAGTACTCTGTCGTGCTCTGTAGGAAGGGGATGTGTTCTGGATATAAACTGTGTTGTGTAAGTGCTGTGGTATGAATGAACCTGCTGTGTCCCAGGTTTACACCACTGAGAGCAACACAGACCAGAGATCTCCCAAACTGCACCGAGGACAATCCACTGATAACACAGCGAAGTGAAGACATGAACAGATGGAAGGGATTCTACCAAGGCACCCAAATCAAGCACAGATTAGATTTATGAAGGACATATAAGTGTGAAGACAAAAACGAGGAAAAGTTTGCTGTTCTGAAAAATAATTAAGAATGGAGATCCTTACAAGTGTCTGTGCTAACTCTAGTTATGCTCCCAAAGAACATGGATAACTGTTCCTTGTGTGTGCATGACATTGTAGAAAAGAATTAACTGTCTGGTAGGGAGCAGACTTCTTCCTTCCAAATTCAAAGGGGTTTTATCTTAATGGAAAAAAGATTTGCCTGTAAATTGGCTCAGAAATTCCAAAAGCTGCAACTTGTTGGACTGCTGATTTGAAGTTTTCAATTAAAAAATAAAATAAAATAAAATAAAATAAAATAAAATAAAATAAAATAAAATAAAATAAAATAAAATAAAATAAAATAAAATAAAATAAAATAAAATAAAATAAAATAAAATAAAATAAAATAAAATAAAATAAAATATGTTTTAAGATTTCCCCTTTATATACAGTTCTTAGAAACTTCTATAGACAGATATTTCTGTTCATATGCATGGAGTATAGAATCTTGAATTCACTGGGTGTAAGTTATTGTTTGGAATCAATGTACTTTCTTGTTTTTTTAGCTTTTTATCAAACCTTGAAGAAAGCTTGTCACTTACAGAACTCACCTATTATTTCCATTCTTGAAATTTAAAAATAATATTATGGAGCCACAGAAAACTAATTTTGAACAAAAGACATTGGATTTAACTAAATTATTGTTCCTGCCTTGTAACCCTAACACAGAACCTTTCATTCCTCCAATAAAAGGGGTTTTCTCATGAGTGAAAGCACATCTGTATGATGGCCTTTGTCTTAAAACCCCAGGCAATTGATAAAGACTTTGGCTGGCTCTGAGGTGACTCAGGGGCTACTTGAGAAGCCTGATTGCTTCCTTCAGCAGAGGATGTGCTATCATCTGTTTTGTATAGCAGTGCTGAGGAGAATCTCAGTTTCCTTCCCTTTGAACAAGAACTAGAAGGGATGGTTTGGCTTATTCTGTTTCAGGGTTGTTTTTTTGTTTTGTTTGTGTTCTAATATTATCAAAATGTCGAAAGGGCTCTGGATGTCCATGAGGTTTCTAAAACTGAACATGGTTTCTGATTTTTAAAACTTTATGCCAGAGGTTTCCTGTGGACTCTTCACTCTGAAGAGGTGCAATACATGTCCTCCTTCACTGAATGCAAAGGTGAGACTAAATAGGCCATTATTTGCATTCACTTTAATTCTGTATCCTATAAAAGGGCTCAATTTCCAAATTTTTTTTGGGGGGGAGTGGAACAAAAAATTACATGGATAAAGGTGTCTTTAAGACCTTCAAAACAGGTGCATTCTGACCTGCAGGATGGCAGGCAGAAACCTTTGTTGTTTTTTGTTTTTTTTTTTTTGTGCAGTACATAGCAAGAGGACAAACTGGTGATCAGGCAGGGAGCAGAACCAGACAGAAGGGACTTTGTATACTTTCCCCTGTTTTTAAAAAAGAAAATGAAAGGAACAGGTGGCCAGGGAGAACCATGAAGTGCTATGAAGGAGAAGAAGAAGAAGTGGAAGAATAAGAATAAGAATAAGAGCATAAATATAAATATAAATATAAATAATAATATGAATTATTAGGACTTAGGAACCTTTTAATTTTCAGGCTGACAAGTGCAGTCTGGGTCCAAAGGTAACCTAATGGAATTGTGTGTAAGGATTTTCCATTAGAGAAGTGAGGCCAGGTCAAACCTGGTATGATTCACTGGAAACAAAACTATGGTTTGTTTGTATTCATATTCTGGTTGGAAAAAAATCCATTTTCTGTCACTGTGAGCTCTTCACCTAATCTAAAAGCTATGCAGAACTCAATATGCTTCATAACCTGGGATTTCTTTAGGAGTGCCTAAACAAAGTAGGATGTCATGAAAAATCTTTTTTCATCTGTGCTGTTTGTAGGAAACCAAATCCATGTGGATATCAGTAGAATTCAGTGGCTGTCACTTCAGACACAGAATGGATTTTATCTTCTGGGCATGTTTATTCTGTGTAGTTAAGAGGTTGATTCAGAAGGTCCAGGAACCTAGCTCCAGAGACTTGTTCTTGGCCATGCATTCTTTCTGAGGTCTCCTTGGAAGAAAAGCATATTTGATACCTTTCAAATATCAGTATCTTTATAGGAGAGCTCAAATACTGTAAATATCATCATAAATTTCAACTCTATTTATGGTAAAAAGCTGATCTCTCTAAGTTTCTATTTAGATTTTAATGTTCTCATGTATTTCATATCCCCTGAAATGTGTTTTCCCCACCTGCTGTTTCCAGACCAACAAATTCACAGTTAGAGACCTTCAGCTGCACCACAAGGCCTCTATTCTTTCACAGATTCCCAGTGAAATCCTCGGGCTCCTGATGGGGGAAGGACCCTGGTCTCTGATCCTGTGGCACCAACCAGCATTGAGTTGGAAGTCAGTGCCTTTGAGCTGCACAGGTGAAGAAAATGTCACAGCAGTTCCCACAGCCCTTTGCAAAATGGTTGGATGGAAATTATTCTGACAAAAGGTGTGTTGCCCGTACTTGGCAACATTTCCAAATGCTCACTGCATATTCAAGGAATCATCTGGATGGCTCCTGGCTCAGGCTGAAAACTGGTTTATGTGGCTCATGTGTGTTAGGCAAATTAGTTGCATGTAGACATGGAGACCCTGGTTAAAGACTGTGCAAGAAAGAATTCTTCCCAGAGAAGTCAAGGTTGATGACAGTTGTAGCAACTCTTCCTGAACAGCCAGCTGGTCCATGGAATATCAAAACATGCTGACAACAAATCTCCAAAAGCAGCATTTCTGTTTGAAGGCGGTGCATTGCACCAGAAGGGCACAAAATGCAGCAGGGATGACATCTCTTCTCACATCACCATCACCACTGCACATCAGCACAGCCCCATGTCACAGTATGGAGGGAGCTCCAGGGTGGCATTCAATTTAAGCTCCACATCTATTGGCTTTCTTCTCAGCCCCTTGTGAGCATCATTTGCTTCAGATACCAGATCTACTAATGATTTTTTTTTCCCTCCCCTTGCTCACACTTTAATTGCAGGGTATATGTAATACCCTTAGGAATAGCTATTGCCACCTGTATTATTATTTATGCTGTGAAAACGAAGCTTGTGGCAATATATTTATTAACACGGTGCCCTGGAATCACATGAGTTAACAGCTTAATCCTGTGATTGTAAACACTTTTCTCTACATGTTCAAGCACCATCCAGGTTTTTTAACTTAGCATTGGGAACCTGAGCATGAGCAGGTCATAATTTTTTGAGAAAATCTACTCTTTAGCAAAAGAAAAAATAAATCTCATAACAAAAAAGTGGTTTATCCATCTAATAGTGGCTGCCGTACTAAGCAATAATGCCTTTTGCAAAAGAAAGAGTTAAACAAAACATTTATGCAGTATAAACTTTGCTCCTTAGCATTAAAATGCACTTTATTCATACCGTAGATTTCTCTTCTAGCCACGGCTATTGTTTGTCACTAACAGCTAGCTTTTGTGAAGTTAATAAATGTGCATAATAAGGACATAAAGGTATGGAGAAGTAATACTGTAATCCTTTTGTTTGGATAATCAGTCTAATGTATGCAAATTAAACCTTATTAGTACTAGGGTTTTGTGTCTGCTTATCAAAATGTGCCATTTTCATGAAAATTGGAAGTCCATTATATAAAGTTATTATTAACAATCATTTAGGAATTATATACGGTATGCAAATTAAAGTTGATTACAACTAATTAAGGGCTTTCTTTGTTATTTGACCTTGTCTGCTTTTTATGTAAATATGTTTCTTTTGGTCTGGCATATTTTTAGACTCAGAAAAGTATATTAAGACAAGTTACATTAT